TCTCAAGTTCCTAATTAAATTGATTGGACTTCCCCATTTATATCCTCTTAACTTTTTGACATCCTACTCTTGACAACACTGAGTCAAAGCCAGAGAGAAAAGGGCTTTCCAAAGCACTGCTTCTCTGGTTCCCCTTGCATTTCCAGGACCAAAATGGAAAAAAGAGTGGCCTGGTTTGCAGCTATGTGTGTTTGCTTTGAGAAAATAACATAATTTTCTGTTGGTGATCTTATAGTTGATTTCTAACTCATCCCTCCAAAGCTTATTTTAAAATGATACAGATAAAATAGTCCTTCGGATTTGATTCATCTTGGTTTAAAAAGATTTTTATAGGGTGTCTTGAGAATTTACCCACCATTTATAGACTTTTTTATGGGGAAATGGGTTTAGAAATAGCACACAGAAATATCATTCATGAGAGAAGATGCCTCTTCTTTATGTAATAGAGACAGTCTTTGAAGATGCCTTTCAATAGTTTTGCCTTTTTCTTGCACTCACACCAAACGTACTGCAGGCTGAGTGCTTCACACAGTCCCCTCTTCCCCTATCTCTTCATCAGACAGAGGAGGCCAAATAAGCTGGCTCTCTGCTCTTACTATCACATCTACAGTGGTATGCACATGCCTGTCTCTCTATATGGGATGTCTCCCCCTTTCTTGCCCACCTGGATGACCACTGCTTCATTCTCCACCTCCACTTTTGCCTCCTCTAACTCTCACTTGCCTCAGTGGACATTGGTGCTCCTCCACCAATACTGTCTGCTTTCTAGGCACCGTTTTGTTAGGCAGCGACGTGGGTTTGTTTCCAAGGCTAAGAGGCTGTCTGCACCTGGAAAGCAAAGACCAAACCCTCTGAGTGTTTGTGTGCCTACTGTGTACTGCCTGACGCAGTAAGCATGATCAATCAGTAAATCAGTAGGTAAAGAAGGAAAGAATAATTATTCTTAAAAATTATTCTCCTCACATTCGTTATCCTTTATCTACCTTTTAGTATTTTTAAATTTTTGTCAGTACATGTTTGCAGGACATAACAACTGCATTTCTTACGAAAAGTTGGGGCACATACAAAACACATGTCAATTCTTTTCTCATTCCCTTCAGTTTCCTTCCCTCCCAACCCATCCATCTCTTGATTTCCTTCCAATTTGCAAAAGATCCATCTCCCTATTTCCTATTATCTTTTATTTTGCTCTTTATTTATATTTTGGGTTTCTCATATAAGAGCAACCATACAATAGTTAAACTTGCACGTCTCATTTATTTTCCTTAATACTGTGGTCTCCAGATGAATCCATTTTCCTACAGATGACTCAAGTTTATCCATCTTTATGACAGAGTAGCACGCCATTGTATCTGAATACCACATTTTCTTATCTGTTCATCTGTTGATGAGCATATATGCCCCTTCAAAGATTTGGCTATTATGAATTGTGCTGCTTTAAACATACTTATGCATGTACTATGTTATGCATAATACACTGTATTACGATGTCTTTAACTCTTTGGAGAAGATACCTAGAAAGAGAATAGCTGGGTGAAATAGAATTTCTATTTTATTTCTGTGGAATCTCCATACTGATTTCCATAATGGTTACACTAGTTGACATTCCTACCAGCAGTGTAGCAGGGCTCCATTTTTCCTCTGAGAGCCTTGCCAGCATTTGTTAGTATTTAATTTCTTGATGATGGCCATTGTTGCAGGAGTAATAGCCAGAGATGGTGAACTTTTTTTTCATGTATTTAATGGTCATTTGTACTTCTGAGAAGTGCCTGTTCATTTCAGTTGCCCATTTTTTGATTGGGTCTTTTATTTTGGGGGGCCTAATTTTTTTTTAGCTCACTCTATATTCTAGATATTAGCCTTCAGTGAGAGGAATACCTGGCAAAAATGTTTCCCATTCTGCAACCTATTTACTCTGTGGTTGTTTCCTTTGCTGTGCAGAAGCTTTTTAATTTGATATTACCTCACTTGCTGATCCTGGATATTATTTTTACATCCTTGGGGCTCTGTACACAAAGTTCTTGCCTACACCTACGTTTTTAAGAGTCTTACCTATTTTATCTTCCAAAGATTAAGTATTTCTGTTGTAACATTTAGACCTTCAATCCATTTTTTATTTTAGTTTAGTACATGGTGAGCTATATGTGTATAGATGCAATCTTCTGCATATAGATGGCTAGTTTTCCTTGCACAACTTATTAAAGAGGCTATCTTCATCTGGTATATGTTTTGAGCCCTTTGCCAAGATCAGGTAGCTGAATATGCCTGGGTGTTTCACTGCATCCTTTGTTCTCTTCCATTGATCTACCTGCCTGTCTTTGTGCCAATAGCATGATTTTTATTAATCACTGTAGCTTTGTAATATAACTTGAATTCCAGGAGAGTGATGCCTCCTGCTTTTCTCTTATTATCTAAGACTGGTTTTGCATTCTGTGTATCTTCTGGCTCCACATGAATTTTACGGTTGTTTTCTCTAGTTCTATAAGCAGCGCTGTTGGTACCCATACCAACTACTCTTATGTAGGGGATTGTATTGGAATGTTTTTCTGCCTTTTACAAAAGAAAATGGCTCAGATGGAGCAAAAGAGAGAAAGGAAAAAGAAATTTAAGTTGGAAGAGAAACAAATAAAAACCTAAAAAACCACCTAAACAAAATCCTAAACGTACCAGAGCTGTTCCTTAGATGATCTTTGTGTAAATATTTTAAGTGGACTCTTGGGTCAAGGTTGAAATTAAAACAGTTTGCATATAGATTCCTTTCATGTATGGAAGAGAGGGGCATGTGGAGCCTGGAGGGAAAGGGTTACCTCCTGGGAAGGATCCTGTATCCTCATAGAGAAGATGGATCTTGTATCTCTGGTTGTAATACTATACGTTAGCCAGCAGAGGGTGGCCACAAATATTGCATGCATTTCCTGCTTCACCCCTAATCGTGTTCTTAATATTTCAGGCAACTATAAAATTGACAGTTCTTGTCTTCAGAGGTAGAAATGGGTAGTGGTAGGTCTAATGACTTTGTAGTAACTTATGGGAAATTTTTGGATATTTCAATTTGGTGCTTAAAATTAAAAAACATGAGTTAGGTTTGATTGGAAAATATGATTTTGCAGTTAGAACTAACTTTGCAGAAGCAGAATTATAATGCCAAATGCTCTGCTACGTGAGTCACATGCATTAGCATGTTTAATCATCAAAAAACCACAAGGATGTACTGTTTTATCAGTCCCAATTTCCAGGCCAAAAAAAATTAGATAATTTTAGTAAGTTATGGAGGCTGGATTCAAAGCAAGACCTTATTCTTTCTCACCGTGTTATGTAAGTTTCCTCAGCAGAACATCCCCAGTTTATACCGTAGTGCTATGTTTGTCTTAGCTCGACCTGATTTAATGGGGCACCTAAATTGGCTCCAGTCAGTGACAAGATCATAGAGAAAAAGCATAAGGACAAAGGAATACCAAGAGAAAGTACTGTAGAGATGACTAATACTAAGTCATAATTTAAAAATCATATTTATAGTAAGAGGAAAATATGATATAATGATTCTGTGGAGTAAATTTTTTTAACCGTTTTTCTCTAACTTCCATAATTGTTAATCTTGGGCATTCTAGTACTTAAATCCTCTCACCATGGTCTCTGCAGAAAGTGAGGAAAGTGTTTACAGTAGCAAAATTATATCTGGCTGCACCATGAACCCCATCATAGCCGTTCAAACTCTAGTTATGATCAGCATTGACTGGGAGACAAATGTTAACAGCTTTATGAAGAATGAAATGAAGGTATTTTTAGTTTACACTGACAAATATTATTGTGTGTTTACTATGTTGCCAAGCACTGTACCAGGCACAGCAGTTAACCTGTCTTTAAAATTCAATTCCTGGCTTCAAAGAGTTCTCTTATGAAGGTTGGAAAATAGAAACATAAATCAATAACCATAACACAACAAGATAAAGCCTATCATAAATGTATGTTTAAAGTACCACAGTGACAAGGCAAGGACAGTTTTGGGGTCACCTAATATCCAACAGCTTCTGGTGTGGATTGATACTTAAGATTTGCGTGCTGCTTTGGGTTCAAAATTGTGATACAGTTATGGGTAGCTTAGAAGATTGGTTTTTTTTTTTTTTTTTTTTGGTTTTTCTCCGGTACTGGGAACTGAACTCACAACCTTGCGCTTGCCAGGCAGATGCTTTTGCCGCTGAGCTAAATACCCAGTCCCAGAAGATTGGTTTTAAAAGTGAGCATGGAAATACGTGCATCTTTTGATGGAGGAATACCTAGAATTCTGACCATATCTACTCACCAAGAAGCGGAAGGACCAGTAAATGTTACTCTGGTCAATCCCTTAGTAGTCATACTCATCTGCATATAAGATACTCTGACGGCCATTGTGGGGTAGTGGTCCTAAAGTTGGACAACTTTGTAGGCCAATAAATTAGCAAGCAGAATGACTTAATTTTACTGCTGGAAATGGTTCATGAAAACATCGAGGCTGTCACTTTACAAAAAAATGGAACTGAGAGCTGGCAGTAAAAATTAATTTTCCCAAATGTCATAATCTAATTAATGGCTGGTAGACTTCAGAAGATTAGTGGACAGTGCAGTGAGTGTATCTGAATTCTAGAGATACATAACTTGGGTTCTGCCATGTCCTGGCTGGGTTGTCTTAAGTAAATTATTTAAACTCCTTGTCACTCAGTTTCCTCATCTGCAACGTGAAAATAGTACTATAGTATCTGCCATAAAAAATGAGGAAATGCAAATAAAACAATTAAGAGTTAAGTGAACTAATACAAATTAGTTCGAATCATAACAAGAGCTTGGTAAACACCAATAGAACTCATGTTCTCAATTTCTGCACTGTTATTATTTTTGCTATGTGAATGAAAGAAATAAAATTGGGTTTTGCTCATTTTTGTTTCTCTGATGCAGAAAGAAACCTCTTTTTTAGATCTGTGTGCTCATGTGATATTCTTGTTTGCCTTTTATGTCTCTTCTTTCAGGGCCAAGGAGATTAAGATCAAGTTGGGAATTCTTCTCCAGAAGCCAGACTCAGCTGTTGACCTTGTCATTCCATATAATGAGAAGTCGGAGAAACCAGCCAAGACCCAGAAGTGAGTCATAAATATGGATTCCACTCATTTTTCTCCAGACGATGACTATTTTTCAAGTGTATAGCACCATCTCTCATCTGTAGAACTACTCCCTTCTATTACTCACAAAAGAACATAAGAGTCCTTAGAAAGTTGCTTTTATTTATTTTTTTTTACTACTCTATGTCTGGTGCATAATATTGGATACTGGCAGAATAGTAAAAATAAAAATAAATTTAAAAAATAAAAACTAGAGCCTTGCCTTACCTGTGGAAAATCAGCCCATACTTTATAAAATGCCGTCACTCATTTTTTTCATCTTCTCAATCATTTATCACACAAAGATGTGGTAAAAATAAATGATCATTTACTGCCGGGGTCAGGAAACCATCCCTGATCCAATTAATTATGAGACTTGCATGCTCATCTGCTAAGGCACTCTCCAAGGCCACCTCCTCAGGAAGGGGATGCACATTGGAGCTGCCTCTCAGGAAGATGCTAAAGAAAAAAAACAATTTAAGATGAATAGTTTCTTCTCCAATATCCTGTCCTTTCAAGGTCCAACACAGGAAGAGAATACTGTTACTTCAGGGAAGAACAAATACTTTGCTAGCTATTTCTGTTTAATGTACACCAGACACATTTTTCTGATCCATAAATTAATGTTCCTGATAGAAGTCTGTATTCTTCCCTCTTTCACCCTCATCCCTGTACCCCACCTCTGTCCCACATACGGCCATCATTTGAGGCATGATAGAAAACCATAATTCTAAAGAGTCAGGATGTTATGGTGATGAACCCAACTCTCACAATTTGCGTTGACACTGCTTTAATTTAACAGCATTACTCATAGTGTTCCTATGCTTTCCATTGGCCCTCTAGCTACCTAGACCCCCACTGCTTTAAAGAGACACACTTCAGCACCAAGAAAAATCGAGAAACAAAAGACGATGGGAGAAAAACCAAACGTATTCAAACTCCTTCTGTCTGTTCTCTAAAATTTTCAAGATAGTAGAACTGTGGTAAAAATACCAGCAGTGGCTTTTAACTTGCATTTCCCGTTTTAAATTTAGCATTTGTATGAATTGGCCAACCCGTTCTTTGTCCCAGTGACCTTCACTTTAATATAGCTGGATTGGTTAGGGGATATAGAAATGACTTATTCTTTTTTAAAATCATTTTTCATCAACCTAAGTGGCTATTTCTATTCTCTTCCCTTTTATTACTTCAAAGTGATCCCAAACCGGAAGTGAGGCCTAATTGAGTTTTCCCCATTTAAAAAGGGGGAAGCTAATTGAATGTGAAGCAGCAGGCTGCGAGCACTAGTGGAAAATAAGAACCATATTGCATACCAGCAATAGATCAAAAGGCCTATTTTGAAGTAAACAACATGGTAATTATTGATTTGTTGGAATTAATTTTAAGAAATATAGTGGAACATTTCCTGTTTTAATTCACTGCCTTACTATCCCACATAGGCACGTGAATTATTTGGCTTAAGGATTCAAAGAGAAAATTGTTTTGGAAAAAACCTGGGGCTGATGTTTATTGGATTACTTGCTTCTTGTGTCTTCCATTTCCTTTCTCTTTCCAGAAGTTTGAACTGATTTTGGAGAAAATCTTCCATAGCCTCAGAGAATATTTGAATGTGTCTGTGCATTTTTTTTTTTAATTTCTTTTTTTCTTTTTTTTTTTTTTTTTTTTTTTTTGGTTTTTCTCCGGTACCGGGAACCGAACTCACGACCTTGCGCTTGCCAGGCAGGCGCTTTTGCCGCTGAGCTAAATCCCCAGCCCCGTGTCTGTGCATTTTTAACAGTGATCACTAAAAGAGCTTCCCCCTGTCCTTCCAAACCAATAAGCCACATTGTGCTTCTGTTGGGCAGATTTCAGAGCCTTTTATCTGACAAGGAAAGCTGATGTTCTCCATGCACTGAATTAATCTCTTCTCTACTTAAAAACTTCTCTCTGCATTTTCTCTTCTTGCAGAAGAGAAGATAAGTCTTCTCTTGACTGAAAGTATTTTTAACCACCCTCTGCCATTTTTTAGAGCTGTTGACATCAGTAGAATTCCTTTTATTAGGAGCATTTTCTATTTTTAATGCATTTTAAAATTCTCTTTGGATTAAAAAATTGGACCATTGAAAAAATTAGAAAAAAACTGACTGTACCTTCACCACCCAAAGCCAGCTTCTGTTATCATTTTAGTATTCTTAATTGCTGTTTTTCTCTCCCAGTCATTTCCATTAAGAAGTAACAAGTGCCTAGATTCACTCTGAAAAATACTCTCCCAGCCCTTCATTCTTTCAATTCTTATACCTTTGTCTTGCTTTAATGCACTCTAGAAATAGAAGTCTATACTCAATTTCCAATATTTTCCTTATCAGATTTAAACCTTACCTCCTCACTGAAGTTGTCTCTAAGGAATCTTCTATGACTCCTTGCAGCACTGACATTCTCTTCCTCAACTTCTGATCCTGTGATTCTGTGTTCTCCCCCTGGCTTCTTTTACTCTAAGTGCTCATCTGCATCTGAGCATTCTCTGAGGTGTGATGTAGGTCCTCCTAAAAAGCAATAAACAAAATTAATAAACTGTATAAGTTTAGTTTGTTATCATGTCTTGTAATGAATTGCAAAACATCGGGGGCAGAAATATACTTACAGTATTTCTTTATACTGTAAGTGTCCCCTTTTCCCCTATACCATCAATTTTTTACATTTTGTTGTTGTGATGGTGGTGATTGTTACCACTTTAGAACTCTAGACTGACCTCCACACCAGCTCCGCTAGTGAGGAAAAGTTACAGTATACATTCATATGGACACTGTCATGCAGTTCTTTGCAAAGCAAGCCTTGATGTAATGAACAAAGATGCACATGCAATTTTTGGTTTACATGTGGATGTTGAAAAGTAGCATTTAAAAACTTTGCAACCCATTAGTGATGCCCATGCCACTGTTGGCCACAGGGTAAGGGTTCGATAAACTTTCTTGAACTTGAGACTAGCAGTGAGCAGAAGCACTGTATGGTGGGAAGGGAAAGCCTGCGGGCACTTGTACCAATACCACTAACAATGTTAAGTTCATTTACCCCCACCAGGAACAAGAACATGTGACAGTATTATCAGGGTAATGTAATATCAGGTAATGTAATGATAATGTATTTAAATTATCATTTAAATACATGCCAGCCACCATGTAGGTTCAAAACCAACCCAAAACCAAAACAATCAAAATCTAGCCACTGGTTTTCAGAGAAGTTAAAACAGTTTTCATGATTACAGTCAGTACATATCAGATTTGCCAGCTAGTGTGCTAATAGTTCACGGGGCTAGTCATGGAAGTCTAAGTTTTTTATCCTTTGTAGCTTTCAACAACCAGGATAACTCTGGGAAACAGCCATTATTCATTTACTTATCATTTTGACACATTTATTGTGGGGTATCTTTTTTTTTTTTTTTTTTT